AACTCCTTATGGCACATTGTTAGTGGATGCATAACAGTTGTAATTGGTGCAGCCGTTGCTTCGAAACACAGATGATTTCAAACCGACAGCTGCCTGGTAATGCTCTCCGTGTGCGCATGTGAGCGATCCCGCAGCACGCTGATCGGTGCCAACACAACCGTTTTTGCATCGCATGAATGGCTCATACCCCGCTGGAGTTACGATGTGGCACACACACTGCGTGCCTACTAGTACTACTGGATTTACTGCTACTACTACTTACTACTACTGGATTTACTTTGTTCTGGCTGAATGCAGATACTTTGCGCCTACATCCAATCACACACAGTGCTACACCTAACGCATCACTTCGTGTGGTTTTTGCGTAATGATTGCTCCCAGCTGCTTATTTCACTTATTCATTGAGGTATCCTTTTGTTTTTCACATGATCTGCGTTGGAGCGCGATATTTTGAATGTTTCGCTTCGCTGTCACGCGCACATCGATCGTTCCATTGCATTGAGACTATTTCACATCGCTGCGCGACGGCAGCGTTCCCACCCGCGTTGAGAGCCACTGGCACCACATTGCTTGAACGCTTTAGACGTACATTGTCCAGCCTGATGCGGGAGCGACGAAGCGCTTAGCACTCCGTCTGAGTGAAACCATCCGTGTCAAGTGGGACGAGTTCAAGCGTGGCCAGAGTCAGTTAACTACCCTGCTAATCAGCCTTTCTAGATGGGATCGTGTAAAGCTAGAGAAGGCGGTCAAGGAAATTCTTGCGAACCAAGGGACGAAACTACGTAGTTCGCTCTCGAAAACATTAAAAGAACCTAACCCGGCACTATGTTTCCACACCGGACGCCAAAAGTACGCTTGCAATTTATCCTCCCTGGCGCTTGCTCGTACCACACTAGAGGTGCTGTCACTGAGCCCTAAGTTCTGTTTCCCCACTAGGTGGGACGACAGACTGGCGATTGCAGCTCAATTGGAAAGCTGTACGCGCAATGTCTCCGTAATCTGACCCACAAGTAGAAGAGTTTAAGTTACTTCCAGTGCATGGATGCTACCAATATCTTAGAGAGCGGATAAAGCATAATACCCCGCTGAAACACGAGCACATCCAGGCCTTAAACCACCTAATGAAGATGTTCTGTTTACTCGGTCCAGTAAAGGTGCGGGTGTAGTTGTTAGGAACAAGACAGATTACGCCCGCAATCTAAACGAACTATTAGCAGACAATACCAGTTTTCGCAGCTGCTTACTGTGAAAGAGGGGCTACCCTGTGCTCTGCACGGCAGTAACGTGCAAGTCAGTGAATAGTGAGCGGCACTATGTCACATCTAGTAACTTGTTCACGATGGTGGTTACTGTCACTCGTAGCTCAGTGGTCTCCACCACGTACTGGCAACAGTCTAGATGCAGGTTCAGCCCTACCAGGGTGCGATAGAATACGTACTGTTGACGATTCCTAAAAGAATGAAACGCGCGTCCAGTGCTTTCCCGGGCGTGTGATGGCTGTCTCAGGGAGCCTAGATGTGACGAATTTCTACGTATACTTTTCACTTCCTCGACTTGGTAATGAAGCTACTCGAGGATGAGGCATTACGACCTCACATGGAATGGACAATACACAAATTTCCATAGTTTCTTTCCATTGACATCAAAACGGAACGTGATCCTCAGTCTAACGTGTCCAGAAGAAAGAATCTGTTCGAACGACACGTTTTCCGAAGAACTGAGGCGCTTACGTTGGGCACTGAAAGAAAATGGTTACCCAGATACTTTCTTGAAAGCGAACATGGAACAAACGAAGTAGGTTCCTGTAACCCCTACAACCCAAAGAAAACCCATATTTCTACAAATACCATACAATGCAGAAGTCGTTGCTGCAATCCTAACTCGTCGCCTTTCTCATGCCTTCAGACACACCTTCCCAGAAACTAAAGTACAAATGCAGTTCGCAGGTAGCCTCGTGGTAGAAAGAATTTATTTTTTTTAAAGTCTGATAAATCTGTGGCTGTGTACACCAAATCAATATGCATTTACTCGTCATCTTGTTCCTGTGGGGCAGGGTACATAGGTCGAACGACTAGGCGCATGCCTGACAGGGCAAGGGAACACCATCCGACCTGGCTTAGACTGATGGTGGAAAACAAACCAACTCATCCATAACCACGCATCTCACCGACGCTGGCCATGCAACTAAGGCACTGAGAAGACTGATATTGCGAGATGGAACCATTTTACGTTATCTGCTCACTCGCAAACTAACAACATAGATATGAATCACGTGACAGACAAACCGAAGGGTTGAAACTGGTCACGAAGGGAAATTACGTAGACGCAAGAATAACAGATCGACAAAGTTGACCTTAGGACCATGAGCCCTAAGGAAGCTTTAGGGAGACTGTTAATTTTTTCTGTACGCAAAGGATAGAGCGATACCGGTTAATTGCCACAGGTTCGGCAAACCTCAAAACTTTTGGGTTTTTATTTCTACAGATAACTGTAAGTGTTTACCCAGGGTCAACCTGGTGGCCTGTTTCGATTACATGTCTGGCGATAGATGATACCGGCAGCTTAGATACTTTGTCTTGCTCGGCTGCTTGTTGTGTCGATAGCTTAGCAATCCCTTTTGGATTATGCTCTCCAATACGCTTACCGAAGGATCGATCTGTTCCGCCAATGTAACTACTCCCGAAGTTACAAACGAATTGGTAAATACAATGGGTTGTGGCAGAGATCGGCTGAGTAGGCCTCACTGGAGGCATACGCAACTTCCTGGTCTCCCAAATGGGGCAAAAGTTGGCGGCATTGAATGTCCGGCGAATCGCTGTATGCGAGCGTCTTTCAAATTGAGCGTCCACGATATCACCTTTGAAAGGTACTTGTAGGTTGACAGACAGTTTGGCCACAGTAAGTACCCTCGGCCTGTTTTCCTTCAGTTGAGTGTGAACTCGAAATTATCTATCGAGCACCCGAAAAATCGATCAAAGTACGTCCGTAGGCGGATATTGGACACCACAGAAACCATTGTACTTCGGCTGTACGAACCACAGTTTGCATTCAGAAAAGGCTCACTCAGGCATTAACTCTTCCTTGGCCTGGACGCACTGTGGTTGAACCGTGCGAGCGCGCTAAGTCCACAGCGGTCACTTGATCAACGTTGCTTGCCGCTGGATGATAGCATCAATCAACTGAATGGCGATCCCCTTTTTGTGTCCATGAACAAACTCCGATTGTTATGGAATTGTATAACCCTGATGATGAATTGCCGAAAACGTACGTTCGCTTATAACGACTTTTGAACGTATTTTACCGAACCTTACATTGTGTCGGACACTTGGTTTTTTTCAACATAGAATTGTACAAGCCTGAAGAAGAAAAACATAGTCGCTCGCGTCTTTTAGCTAGCCTACATGTTTGGATTATGGTGGCAATCTATCTTTGAATTAGGGTTGATTAAGTTGCAAACGATCTTTTTATCGTGATGGCTAGATGTTCTTAAGATACCTATTTTTTGATTTGGCCTTTATCAACTCTTCTTGCCTCCTATAATTATGATCAGTTCTCTGTTTATATGTACACTGTTGTGAAATCTCAATGCAACTTAGAATTTCACCCCAGTTATTGTTACCTTTACCATTTTTTATTATTGAGAGATCATATTACAGCATTGTTATTTGCCTTTGAGTTCATTATTGCTTTGTTCCCATGCCTGTTCGCTTTCGTGGAGGCCCTCCTTCACTTGTTACTCCGACATGTCGGCGGTTAGGTGATACGGCGGCGGTGGCTACACTCCTGTTGCTCGAATCCCTCATGTGATATTATCCGGTGCAACATTTCACTTACTTTTTGAGAGATAATTGGAAGGTTGCTTTTCCCCATCCCAAATCCTGATCGTCTGGCATCTCACTTTCTAAACTGCTCACTTATTGTTGCAATACTGGTCCCTTCTGTTTGGGATCCCGCTTCAGCAACCGCGTTCATTTTCATTACGCCTACTTTAAAATTCAATCGGTTGCATCGGAGAGCCCACAGTGGTAGTCCGAGAGACTCTGCTACCACCATTAGGCTACATTTTATTCCCAATGTGTGGATTACCACACTCTCTTCTCTATTGTTGTTTGCCCTTCCGATCCTCAGGCACACCTTCACCTCTGACGCACAGTCGGACTAGGATTGACCTCCTGGGGAGACGAGATGACAGCTGCCACACAAGATGCAGATCGACGGCGTTACTTCCACAGTTGTCTGTTATTTCTCTACACTCCACAATTGTGGTGCAGTTTGGTCATTTCCCGTCGTACTGCTAGTTGGCCATCTGCCCATTTTGTAGGTTTCTACAACATGCTGTGTTCTTTACACGCGTCCTCCCACGTTACGTGGTGGGTCATGATGCGTTTTGATAGCGAAGCGCAGCTAACCCCTTCCGGAGTTTAATCCACACGAACGAAGGACTCAGTATTAGGTGATTTACCCTCGTTGGCGGACTTTCGTTCGGTTCTTGTGCCCGTGCACGTAACGCGAACTGCACCCCAAAATGAAGCCCATGGCAACCAGCCGTCAGATGCGAGCAACAGGCGGTGGTAGACTTTATGAGCGTTTGTTTTGGCTCACCTCCATCTGTAGCAACGTTTAACATAGCATCATGTGTTGGCTTACTAGGTATGATGGGACTTGTTTCGGGTGGGACCGCATACTCTCATACAAATCATCCTCCGGTTATAAGTGTAAAATCTGCAGTGATTGATGCCTGCCACGAAATGAGTGACTGTTGTTGTGAACTTTAGTCAAAAATCATTTTTTCGCGGACTGTCGGGTTGTGTTTCAAATGTATTATTGTTTCTCGTACTCCAAAACTCTCACGGTAATTGTCTAGGGTCCCACACATTTTTCATTGATCACCTAAAGAGCCTCTCACCACCGTAACATCTATCCATTTTTCCGTTTATTCGTTTTGTACCTCTTTTTTCACTCCTTTTCTCTTCCCTGCTCATTTCATCCTTAAAACACAGCGCCGTTTGGCCGAGTTGGCTAGGAAGGCGGTCGCTCGCATTCCCGTAAAAACTCTGCACCCTGGCGACAAAGTAAGTTACTAATTTCCATATCTATTCATACGATCATTACAGAGTTCTTTTTATTGTGTATCGTTGCCACTATCGAAACTCCTCCCGCATTCCGTTCCACGGTGGCTCACTCATCGGGATTTTACCCGCCCGTGTTTCCTAAAACCGTCAGCTGTGCTCATTGCTCACACAACTCCGTACTGTTCAGAGAGCCTGATATTGTGCGGTGATCGATTTCCCGTAAAGCTAAATAGAATGTTCGGGAAGTCGGGATTCAATTCTTTCAGCGGTACTATGATTCCCATGACACAATGTCTGTACCACAGCCTCTCTCTCTCTCTCTCTCTCTCTCTCTCTCTCTATATATATATATATATATATATATATATATATATATATATATATTCCGTAAAGTATATATATATACCATTTTCACTTTAAACTGGACAGTTTTCAAACCAAAGTGGACATTTTGCAAATCAAAGTGGACATTTTGCAAACCAAAGTGGACATTTTGCAAACCAGACTGGACATTTTGCAAACCACATTGGACATTTTGCAAACCACATTGGACATTTTGCAAACCAAACTGGACATTTTGCAAACCAAAGTGGACATTTTGCAAAACAAATTGGACACGTTGCATTCTAAGTAGCAACTCGCCAATTTGTTGGTAAGAAATGAGCAGTAAGACTGCTGAATGATGTTCAGCATATACATTGTGATGACGCTAATACACCGGCATTGTGTAAGCAGCGGGCTACACTGTAAAACATTTGCTTGATCGTGAGCAGCGACCGAAGTTCCGAACTACGCTCCCCTCTCCCCATTGACATTCGCCTAGTTGGTGTACAGTGCCCATACGCATCAACCTGTGTTGGTGTGTGACAGTTGGAAAATCGGACTTCCGAATCGTAATGGTGTATCAATCATTTTGTGAGTGGATTGCGATGCGCAATCTCAATGTGCACCGTTATTCTCATTAGAGAGAACCTTGTCCGATTCGGTCAATGGGACCATGTCGGATGAAGCAGGTAGGCGGTGTCCCAGCTTCGCCCGTCTCTCTATTAGCTTTCGCAACTGCCACGTTATTGTATCAGCGTAGGCTGTAATGACACCCAGCAAAACCAGTCTAGAGCTATAGCCTACTGTTGCAACATATCAACTACTGAGGAGTGGGCCGATTACACGGTGTTCAGGCCACATTGTGGTCACGATAATGTAACCGAACTGCGTACGTAGCGGGTGATTGTGTAAGCCCTTCTCTTGACATGAGTGCCGTTCGCCTCGGTCAAAATCGGTGACCTATTTTCCACTACACCCCCCCCCCCATAGGAATTCGTGTGTTTTGTCTGGGTGTGTGGACCGACCTATGCAGCGGTACCACTATTGGAGCCGAGCATACGATAATGGTTCCACTCAACCCAACTTAGCTTTATTAGCTCCGTGCCGCACGAAACGACCAAAATGAGTGACGAACAACAGGAGAGCTGGTGTCCGACGCGACGGCACTGCAGGCGAACATCATTTGCGCAAAGAGAAATTCTCACAAAACTTGTGCTGGTCGACGGCAAAGCTACTCGGGAAGCCGCTGAAGTCGCCGGTGTTAACGCGAGTACGGCAAGGAACATCATTAATGCCTACAAGCGAGAAGGCTCAAATACACAGCGCACCTGCGGTGGAAACAATAGGGAGAAGCTGACTCCCAATGTATTGCAGCGTGTCGAAGAAGCGGTTGAACGGCACTCTGAGGACACGTTGGTGCAGCTGCAGATGCGCCTGAGAGGGGATGGGACAAACCTATCAGTATCCTCTGTCTCCAACACCCTCAGAAGACTAAAGATAACTCTTCTGAGGGTGTTGGAGACAGAGGATACTGATAGGTTTATCCCATCCCCTCTCAGGCGCATCTGCAGCTGCACCAACGTGTCCTCAGAGTGCCGTTCAACCGCTTCTTCGACACGCTGCAATACATTGGGAGTCAGCTTCTCCCTATTGTTTCCACCGCAGGTGCGCTGTGTATTTGAGCCTTCTCGCTTGTAGGCATTAATGATGTTCCTTGCCGTACTCGCGTTAACACCGGCGACTTCAGCGGCTTCCCGAGTAGCTTTGCCGTCGACCAGCACAAGTTTTGTGAGAATTTCTCTTTGCGCAAATGATGTTCGCCTGCAGTGCCGTCGCGTCGGACACCAGCTCTCCTGTTGTTCGTCACTCATTTTGGTCGTTTCGTGCGGCACGGAGCTAATAAAGCTAAGTTGGGTTGAGTGGAACCATTATCGTATGCTCGGCTCCAATAGTGGTACCGCTGCATAGGTCGGTCCACACACCCAGACAAAACACACGAATTCCTATGGGGGGGGGGTGTAGTGGAAAATAGGTCACCGATTTTGACCGAGGCGAACGGCACTCATGTCAAGAGAAGGGCTTACACAATCACCCGCTACGTACGCAGTTCGGTTACATTATCGTGACCACAATGTGGCCTGAACACCGTGTAATCGGCCCACTCCTCAGTAGTTGATATGTTGCAACAGTAGGCTATAGCTCTAGACTGGTTTTGCTGGGTGTCATTACAGCCTACGCTGATACAATAACGTGGCAGTTGCGAAAGCTAATAGAGAGACGGGCGAAGCTGGGACACCGCCTACCTGCTTCATCCGACATGGTCCCATTGACCGAATCGGACAAGGTTCTCTCTAATGAGAATAACGGTGCACATTGAGATTGCGCATCGCAATCCACTCACAAAATGATTGATACACCATTACGATTCGGAAGTCCGATTTTCCAACTGTCACACACCAACACAGGTTGATGCGTATGGGCACTGTACACCAACTAGGCGAATGTCAATGGGGAGAGGGGAGCGTAGTTCGGAACTTCGGTCGCTGCTCACGATCAAGCAAATGTTTTACAGTGTAGCCCGCTGCTTACACAATGCCGGTGTATTAGCGTCATCACAATGTATATGCTGAACATCATTCAGCAGTCTTACTGCTCGTTTCTTACCAACAAATTGGCGAGTTGCTACTTAGATTGCAACGTGTCCAATTTGTTTTGCAAAATGTCCACTTTGGTTTGCAAAATGTCCAGTTTGGTTTGAAAAATGTCCAGTTTAAAGTGAAAATGGTGTATATATATATATATATATATATATATATATATATATATATATATATATATATATATATATATATATATATATATATATATATATATATATATATATATATATATATGGTTGGCGGCATCCGGTTTCGGATTTGCCTGTCACTGTGGCCAGCCACAGGACGCCTGCGCCTACAGAGGGACCATGAGTGGCTTGCGCTGCACCACCCACAGCTCCAATCACACACCCCATATCCAGTGTAAACCCGAAGGAATAGGACCGGGAGGCATGCGGGTGGGAACCACGTTTCATCAACGGAGCCGGCCCACACTCCTTCACACGCAAACACAAGCACGCTGTATTTGGGAATCAAGCGCACACAAGGCGGTGGCTGGACCGTAGTCCGCTCCATACTGAGTGCATGGAACCACTCTTCGAGCCCAACACGGCCACAAGGACCGTGTACCCCGTCCCCTCCAGCAACGACCAACTGTCTCCTGGAGCCAGTATGAACGATGTAGTGGGTAATAGACAGGTAGGTACCTTGTCAACATTCACATCAAGCGCAGCCACACCGGGGATATCAAACAGCAGCCAATCACTTGAGAGAGAGAGAGAGAGAGAGAGAGACAAAGAAATTAGCTCGATTAATGCATAAGGAAACGGTGACATAAACCTTAAGTTGTTGAGCATATGAAACATTTGTTTACAAACGAATCCTAGATAAGTGCACGAGGTCAGGAAGTATACTTTACGGAGTGCCACGAACACAAAAATGTTATGGAAATCGAATACAGTTGACTTAAGCGAAGTGTGCAAGTTTATGGAATAGAGTACAGGTAGACATTTATATGAGTAAGAAAAGCATTTAGGCAAACTTGAAAACCCACCACCTGAAATAAAGAGACTTAGCATGCAAGCACGCGGTTAGTAAATCGAATGCAGCGTACCTACAAATGCTGCGCCCGTGCTGCCTACGTTCTCTGCAGAACCCGTCGTCGCTTCAGTAGTACTCCCGAGTGGCCTCGCTCATGGCTCACTAAGCCTGCCTGACTAAGGTACTCGCGACCACATGTTCTACAGCACCATGCGCTCGATGTCGATGGAGTACAATCCATCGGTGCTTGCCGCTTCCGCAACTGCCGCTTCTTCTCTGCATGCATGAGGGCTTTCTCCTGCACCTCAGCAACTGCCTTCGTGATCAGATCGCGCCATGCACGCCGATCAACCGTCTTCGATTCCAATGATCAGCAATCAAGATTTGAACGTGTGAGGCTCACTTTAATCATGTCCTGGTAACGTAACTTTGGTTTCCCCACGTGCCGCTTCCCAAAACTCAGTTGACCGTATAAGAGTTGTTTCGGTATCCGCGCCGAATCCATACGGCTCACATGACCGATCCATCTCAGGTGTCTCAATAAAAGTATGCAGTCCACTGCATACATCCCACTTTGGCGCAGCACTTCGGTGTCTGCAACTCTGTCGCCCCAACCGATGCGTAAAATTCGTCGCAGACACTGCTGATGGAACCGCTCGAGATATCGCACATCCCGCCGGTACATCGTCCACGTTTCACTGCCGTATAGAAGAACGGACAGCACCATGGACTTGTACACCATCAGCTTCGTGCCAATGGTAAGCTGATGGTTGTTCCACACTCGGCACTCTAGCTTCCCGAATGCCGCTGCTGCCTTCGACACGCGAATACGCAACTCACTGTGTAGCTACTGATCAGTCGATATCACACTCCCAAGGTAGCTGAAACGGGAGGTGGTTTCCAATACTTCAGCACCAATACTGATTCGCGGCAATATTGAACATTGCACCTCAGGTGAAGGCTGAAAGAGACAGACAGTTTTGCTTGTGTTGATGGTGAGCCCGAATTTGGCCGCTGTCGAAGCCAGGCCACCAA